GAGTCCTCAGCACAGCAGAGCCAGGGAGCTGCTGGAGCGGGGCCAGAGGAGCCCCAGCAATGCCCCGAGGGGTGAACCCCTCTGCTGGGAGCCCAGCAGGAGAGAGTTGGGCTGGGGCAGCCCCAGAGGAGAAGGCTCCAGCTGGGGAGACCCCCTGGGGGCTGCCAGGACTGCCAGGGGCCTGGCAGGGTTGCACTGGATGCTCTTGAAAGGTCCCTTCCTACCTAAACCGCTCTGTGATTCTATGAAGTGTTCAGGTTCCACCACCCTGTGGTCAACAAGGTCCATCTCAACCAACCACAGCTCTGTTTTTCAATGCCATCAGGGCTGCAGTTTCATGACACCTTAAATTGCTCTCTAAGCTGTGTGCTGGTCACTGTCCTGCTGTCACTTCCCCCCAACCTCTTCTGCTGACAGACGTGACCACACCAGCACCTACCCCAGCACCAGCCCAGCAGAAAATTAACCATGAGTAAAAAAAGAAGAAAAACCTGATGGAGGTTGGTTGAGAGGCAGTTCTATGCTCATGTCCTGGGGGAACATCACTGAAATGGTGACAAATTCACCTCCTCCCAGGGCTGGGAATGCCACCAGGGTGCTTCTCCTCCTTCAGGCAGAGATGCTCCTCAGCTTCCATGAGCCCTTCATCTATTACAGACAGGATTGGTGCAGAAGTGTCACTGCTGTGGGATGGTTTGGAGGAAGCAGGACCAGAAGAGCTCAGTGGGCTTGGTTCAGTTGTGTTAGAAAACCTGTTGAGGAAGGTTGTGGGTTTTATACTACAGATAAAAAAAAGTCAATGACCTCTCCAACGTTTTCTCCTTCAGCCTGGCCCTGGCTGTGGAAGGAAGAGCTTTGGTCTGGTGGAGATGGTGCGTGGCTGTGGCTCTAGCATGGGAGCAGGGTGATAGAACGTGGCATGAAAGCATCTTCACAGGGGTTGGGGATGGGACAAGCAGTGCTGTGTATGGTCAGCCTGCTGCACCACCAGATGAGACTCCAACGGAGCTGCTGGGGAAGGGTCTAGAGCCCAAGTGTGGGGAGGAGCAGCTGAGGGAGCTGGGGGTGCTGAGCCTGGAGCAAAGGAGGCTCAGGGGAGACCTTCTGGCTCTGCACAGCTCCTGACAGGAGCCTGGAGCCAGGGGGGGGTCGGGCTCTGCTCCCAAGGGACAAGGGACAGGACAAGAGGAAAGGGCCTCGAGTTGCCCCAGGGGAGGTTGAGGTTGTCCCTGAGGAACAATTTCTTGCCCTGGAGGGCTGTCCAGGGCTGTGCCAGGCTGCCCAGGGCAGTGGTGGAGTCCCCACCCCTGGAGGGGTTTCCAAGCCGTGGAGATGTGGGGTGAGGGACACGGGGCAGTGGGGACCTGGCAGTGCTGGGGGATGGTTGGACTCAATCTTCAAGGTCTCTTCCAACCTAAACAATTCTATGATTCTATTCTCTGATCAGCCTAGAGACCAGGGTTGTGTAAAGACCTTTTCTATCACCTGCAGCTTATTTTTGTCCTTCACACAGTGCCCAACTGGATGAGACAGTAAAAACCACCTCTCCAACTTACCCAACCCACCTGAGGTCAAGCTTGTGCCGATGGTGTCTTTGTGTTTGGTTGCTCCCTGCCAGATCTACCTCCTCCTCAGAACGTTTCTGCCATACCCTTGGGCAACAGCAGCATCCTCATCAGCTGGAAACCACCCAGCAGATCAACAGTGCCCATCAATGGGTACGTGGTGGAGTGGGCAGAGACAGGGAGGGACCCACTCCTGGAGCCTCAGCCAGCCTGGGTGAAGCTCCCAGCATCCAACCTCTCCACAGTGATAGCAGGTAACCCCCACCACGGGTCAGGAGAAGACAGAGGTACCCTCAGATTCTAATTTTCATTACTTTAGCCTAAGAAATGGTGACACTTAAAACTTTCTGAAGGGAAGGAAACCAAAGTGATCCGTGGTTGCTCTGGGCTCAGGGCCGTGGTTGCTCTCAGGACTTCTATCTGATCAGTGAAATGGGCAGGAACTGGGTTTTTCCAGACATCCTTGTGCCACCTAAGTGACTTCAGCTCTTCCCCTTCCTTGGAGCACAAAACATGGTCCAAGGTTTTCTTTGGAGGGTACAGGGCTGATGGAAGCTGTTCCTTCATGAGAACACAGAGGACTTCACCCTTCAGCAGTGTCAATGTCACTGGCTTGGGGAACAGGAAGGTTCTGCCAAGGGCTGGAGCATCTCTGTGCCAGGCCAGGCGGAGAGCTCTGGGGCTGCTGAGCTGGAGAAGAGAAGCCTCAGAGGGGATCTGAGCAGTGCTGAGCAAGAGCTAAAGGGCCCCGGGGGGCAAGAGGCTGGGGCCAGACTCTGGTCAGTGGTGCCAGGGACAGGACAAGGGGCAACGGGCACCAACTGGAACCCAGGAGGTGCCACCTGAGCAGGAGGAGAAACTTCTTTGGGGTGAGGGTGGCCGAGCCTGGAGCAGCTGCCCAGAGAGGCTGTGGAGTCTCCTGCTCTGGAGAGATCCCAAACCCCCCTGGGCACCATCCTGGGCACCCTGCTGGGGGTGAGCTGCTGGAGCAGGGGGTGGGAGGAGATGATCTCCAGAGGTCCCTTCCAACCCCACCATGCTGGGAGTCTGTGAAAGATTCATCAAGAGCCAGAAGACTGAGCTTGGATTTGAGCAGCTGGTATAAATACTTCATCCAGGGCTGTCAACACTTCCACCAATAACTGTCCACCTTTAATTTCTCTCCTCAGAGCACATTGAAGACAACACGTGCTATCAGATCACCGTGCTCACGCTCTACCAGGACGGGGCTGGGCGAGCAGCAGAAGTCCAAGGACACTCAAGAGCAGAAGGTGAACCACCATCCTCCTCTTCCAGGTATTTCTAAGCTCCACGAAGCTCCTCTTTGAAAGCCCCCTCTTCTTTTGCAGCTCCAACAGCTGGACCCCAGATGTGCACAGCAGCCCGGGCCAACGGCGTGGTGGTGTCCTGGGAAGCCCTCCCTGCCCAGCAGCAACGGGGCTGTCTCACAGCCTACAGGGTGTACCTGCAGAGGAAGGACAGGCAGGGAGCCCCTGCTGTCTATGGTGGGTATCTGGTGAAGAACAACCTGGTGGAGGATGGAAGCTCCAAGCCAAGGAGTGACAGTCCACCCATCTGTCACGAGGGATGGCAATAACAGTCAGTTGGAGCCCTCTACAGCTGCCCAGCAACAGGACTACACCTCCATGACTTCCAGCCCTGAGTCAAGTTCATTTGAATGTGGAACCATCAGATTTCTCCCTGTGTTTTTTATTCATTAGGATCTTCTTCAATTATAACTCCTGCCAACCCCTCTAATTATTGGCAGGGTAAAATAACAGATTCCTAAAAGTACTAACCAAGAAGACATACTCTGCCCCTGAGATGCCCAGGGCAGGTAGCACCAACAGCACTCCCACAGCCGTGTCCTTTCCCACCCAAAACTTCTTCCACCCCAGCTGTGGAACCCCCAGGCTTCCACCTAAGAAAAGTTGGAGGGGTTTGTCTTTCAGAAGCTGGGTCTAGGGCACAAAAGTCTTGTGAGGAGCAGCTGAGGGAGCTGGGGGTGCTGAGCCTGGAGCAAAGGAGGCTCAGGGGAGACCTTCTGGCTCTGCACAGCTCCTGACAGGAGCCTGGAGCCAGGGGGGGGTCGGGCTCTGCTCCCAAGGGACAAGGGACAGGACAAGAGGAAACAGCCCCAGTTGCCCCAGGGGAGGTTGAGGTTGTCCCTGAGGAACAATTTCTTGCCCTGGAGGGTTGCCCAGGGCTGTGCCAGGCTGCCCAGGGCAGTGGTGGAGTCCCCACCTCTGGAGGGGTTTCCAAGCCGTGGAGATGTGGGGTGAGGGACACGGGGCAGTGGGGACCTGGCAGTGCTGGGGAATGGTTGGACAGGGTGATCTTCAAACTCTATTCCAACCAAAATGATTCTATTCTCTGACAGTTTTTAATGGATATTTCATAGTTCCACCATACAAACCTCATCTGAGGTTGAAACGTTGACTTACCAAGCAACAGCAGTCAGAGGACAGGAGATGCAGCCCTGGGGGTCCAGTCCATACAGTGGCCTGAGATCTTTTACCACCCTCCCAAGGATTCAGTAACACACAATCCTAGAACATTTTAGGTTGGAAGGAACCATAAAGATCATCCAGTTCCAACCCCCTGCCATGGGCAGGGACACCTCCCACTAGAGCAGGTTGCTCCAAGCCCCATCCAACCTGATCTTGAACACCTCCAGGGATGGAGCATCCACAGCTTCCCTGGGCAACCTGGGCCAGAGTCTCACCAACCCTCACATCAAAGAATTCCTTATATCTAACCAAATTTTCCCCTCTGTTGAAAAACCAATCAAAGTAATAGACACCTCTCCAAGCTCTGGAAACTTCTTGGGTGCTTCACTTGCTTCTCCCTTCTCCACCTTCTCCCTCCAGCCATTTCCAACGTGAGTGGCCCACGCTCGCTGCACATCCCCGACCTGCAGCCCGGCGAGCTCTACACCCTCTGGATGACAGCATCAACCCCTGCTGGAGAGGGCCCCGGGGGCAACAGTGAGCTCCTCTGCTTGGAAGGTAAGGAGTCTGCTGGGGTGGAGGCCAGGAGATGTCTTCATCCATGACCCGCTCTCTTCCACAGGCTGGGAATGCTTTTACCTGCTCCTCTTGAATTACTGGAGATCTCTTGATGTTCTTCAAGAAGATTCCTAGTTTCAGATGGTTTTAAGATGTAGAATCTCTTTTGTTGTCTTCAAGCTCTGTGCCATGATGTTGGCTGGGTGGTTTCGTAGTAGATAAAGTCCAGTGGGATGGTTTGTTGTGGAGGAGGAGAGAAGGGTTTGGTCCTTTCCTCTTGCTGGATCAGATTATCTGTGTGCTTCAAGTTCTGGCAGAGGTATCCACGCAGAAAGTCCTGCTGACCTCCACATCTCCCATGCAGGAGCTCAAGCAGAACACATGGTCACTAAAGCAGCTGCCATCTCAGAGCCTTCTTGGGGATCACACATCCATCACGTGTGCCTTGTTCCTCTGCCTTCCAGGGGATGCAGAAGCAAGACCACCTCCCACAGACTTCTGACCACAGGCTTTCTGTCCTGCAGGATGGGTTGTTTCCATGGAATCATCACATGGTTGGAGTTGGAAGGAACCTTAAAGATCATCCAGCCCAACCCCCTGCCATGGGCAGGGAGATCTCCAACTAGAGATTCTCCAACTTTGGTCTTTTCCAACCAAAACCATTCTATGATTCCATGAAGAGGACCTAGATTGCTGGGTTTTTTTCCAAGGAATGATGGGTCTTCTGTGTTTCAGGTGCTGGGGACTGGGTGACTGTCGTGCTCACCTGCAGCTTCCTCATCCTCTCAGCCTGCGTTTGTTCCGTGCCTCCAGTGAGGAAAGCGTGAGTGGATCCACCTGTCACCTCCCAAAGAAACCTGGAATTCTTGGGAGGAAAGCTCACATCCTTTTGGGACCCCTGGGAACTGAAGGAAGGGTTCAGAGTAGCAACGGGAGCACAAAGTGAGCTCAAAATATGAAATTTTAGACTTAAAATATATCTTACTTCAGATATATTGTGAAGCTTTGACCTGGAGCTCAAGGTCTTCTTCCAGCAAGGTACAATCCCCAACACCCTGGGGGTGAAGGTGAACCCAGAGAGGAAGAACTTTAGAGGGACATGCACGTGTCCCCACGACTGTCCAGGGCTGCAGCCAGCCAACAGGGCTGCTGTTGGTCACAGCAGGCAAACATCTGGCAGGAGGACGCTGGGCAGGTTCAGGAGGACACCCAGCCCATGGGTGAGGAGGAGGAGCAAGGTCCCAGGGCAGCACTGGGGGGGTCACCACTCAACCTCATGGCTCTTTCTCCACCCGCGTGTCCCGCTCGCTCCTCTCCGTGCTGGTGCCACAGTGGCAGGGCAAAGCCATCCCAGACCCAGCCAACGCCACCTGGGCCAAGGACTACTTCTCCATGAAGGTAAGATGAGCTCTTGCTTCCTTCTAATCCCACCACCTTCAGCAGAACAAACAACTGGAGCCGTACAAATCCTTCAGGCAGCCAACCCTGCGAGCTCCAAGAGGGGGCTAAGACCCAACAGGTCTGTCCTCATGCCTTGGTCAGCTGTAGGATGTGTTGGGCAAATTAAATACAAGGATCATAGAGGGGCTTGGGTTGGAAGGGACCTTCAAAGGTCGTTTGGTTGCTGCAGGGAGCAGGGACATCTGCAGCTAGAGCAGGGTGCTCAGAGCTCCATCCAACCTCCCCTGGGATGGTGCCAGGGATGGGGCAGTGGCCATCATTCCAGGCAAGGGTCTCACCACCCTCAGGGTCAAAAATTTCTTCCTTATATCCCATCTAAATCTCCCTCTTTGAGTTTCAAACCATCCCCCTTGTCCTGTCCCAACAGTTCCTGCTCCAAATTCCTCTCCCA